CTGGATCTGCATTTCCCTCTCCCAGCTCAGCTGAAAGGAAAGATGGAGTTCCTTGACCCTCACTCAAGCTCCTTATCGGGGCCTTCTTAGGACTCCAGCACAGGCTATAGGCCATATACACTCCGGCTTGGGTAAGAGGGCTCCCTACTGGATGTGCCCTTCTGCAAGGAGTCTGGAGACAGGGTAGAGTGTCCACATGGGCCCAGGGTCCTGCTTTGAGAATGTGCTCCAGGTACTGAGAACCTCAGAATCTTGTGCCCAAATGGTTCTGTATCCCCTTCAGGGACTTTAAGACCCTTGTTTTGGGCTTGCGGTGCTTTCCCAAAGACATGAGAGGTGGTCACCAGGAGGCTGCTTGTGGGGCTGGAGGAGAAGATGGATGAAGCTTGAACATGTGGGTTGGACTTCCATGTGTGTGAACGCAAGACCCCTCATGATTCCCTGAGGAGCAAGGGATGAAGGAGAGGGGGACTGGGGCCAGAATAGCTCTGACTATAGTACAATATCCAGAACATAACTCCAAGGAATTTGAGCATTTTTAATCAAACTCTGGCCTTCTGACCTATGAAGGTATGTTTGCCAAGCTAGAAGAGTAGACCACATTTCAGTTTATAGTTTATTAGCTTGATTTGTACATTTAAATATCAAGGCCCCCATTTATAATCTTGCCCTAGACCAAGCAAATGTTAAGGTCAGGCCTATTTTCAATCCCTCTTTCTTTCCTGCCTTTAAATACTTCCATGCATCTGTCAGGTGAGAAATAAGCAAGTAAATAAATGAGCAAAGACCTGTCCATAGCCCTCAGTCTCCCCATCTCTCTCTTTCTAAATACAGATTGTTTAACCAAAGAGGAACTCAGCAGTCTGTCACAGAGGGCCTGCAGTGCTCTGAAAACAATGAAGACTACCTCTGCCTAAGTAAGCCTGCGATCCACAGGTATTTATCTCACATATACTTTTGTCTGTGATGGAGAAAACACAGACTACTTCAAGAAGATTCTTCAGAGGGGTATCCCCCAAACAAGCACCACTCTCACACCCCTGAGAAGGCTGTGACTGACTTCTGAGGGACTCCATTAGCTTCTTGTTGTAGTGGGTTTGTCTCAAAGACAAACCAAGTTGCTTATCCTATAGCTTAGATTACGTAATGCACAATGTGCTAACTCTTGCTGTTGGGGGTTTAGAGGGTCCTGACTGAGCTTCAAGGTTTTTTCCCCATAATCAAGAAGTCCCATATCAACTGGAGCAGCCATTTTTTATGTGGTGAGCAGTTAATAGTATATTTTATGCGTATTATTCCAGACAACATGCACAGTGTGCCTTCTATCCAGCAGCCCCATGATCCCAAATATCCACCCTATTTCCTGAGATTCTTGAGAAACAATAAACTAGGCACTCTATGTCTCAGATGATACTGGGTAGCTTAACAAGTACATTATTCATGTATAATCCTTCAGTCTTAACTGAGATCAAGACTTTGGCTGAGGCTACGTAACTGATACACCTCAGTCATGTCACCCGTATCCTAAGGGGGCTCTAGCAAACTTTGGCAAAGGAAACGCAGCACTGGTAAAGGACTCAGGTGCTTGCTGAAGAGAAAGTACACAAAAGGGCTCATGCTGCTGCAGAGGTGAGACATACCTTTCAAGTTCTCAGGCATAACTTGGGAAGGAATTTGGAGGAGGCTTAGGTCCTGTCTCAATACACTAGCTAGCAAAATACGGGTCACCAGTGCTAATTAATCTATAGCAATGCATATGGAAACACGTGAATTACAAATGCCTCAAGATGTATGGAGTTCCCTTTTGTGTCAACACTGGGCAGTGATTAGAGCTGCCAAGGTAGATGTGGATCAGGTTTCTTGCCAGCTCAAAGCCTTTCCTCCCTTGCATGGATGTCCTCCAGCATTTCTCTCATGCTCTTCCCTGCTACCATCTCTTGGTGCTCTGCCACTCAATCCTTGATGACTCTGGCAACTGTCCACAGGGAGTTTATATCCAGCAAAGAAGACAAATAAATGCCTTTCTTTCCCTACTAGATTGGAGGCTGCTGAAAGCAGGAACTAAGAACATTCCATTATCTTCGTCCTCAGTAATTAGTATATAAAAGGCAATCAAGGAATACTGGATAACTGTGACTAATGGGAACATGGAACTGAACAAAAGGGATGTTAAAAGGATATAAACATTGCATGTCAACCAAGACAGAAAGGGTAAGTGGAAATTGATGAGACTACAGGAGGATGGTGTTGGGAGAAAAGGAGCTTCCATGTTGGAGCAATGAGTCTCTAGACCCTGAGTGATGAAGGTGCACAGCTAGTTGTTGGAACTGAAAACTGAGCTGGAGTGCAGAGACTTGGGGCAAAGGCAAGGCTGGAGAGATGGCAAGTCTCTGAAGGCCTTTAAAACCATGTTGTGGACATTGGGATTCATTCTAGGGTCTGTATTAAGCCACTGAAGTGTTTCAAGCAGGGGGACATGATCTGAAAACTGCAGGATCTTCAAAGAGATCATCTGGATCAACAGTGGAAGAAGGGAAACAACTCATAAGGCAATGTGCAGTCCAAGAGAGACAGATGATGGTGGCCATAACAGGGTTATGGTGTGGAGGGATATGAAAATGAAGAATTAAGCATGACTCCCAGTTTTTAGTTTGAACAACTAGTAGATAATTGTGGAATTTACTGACATAGGAAACACTGAAGAAGAGAAGAAAGGATGATGAATTCTGTTTTGTCATGCTGAGTACAAAATGCCTGTAAGCATATGCATCTATTATATGGGTGAGAAATTTTATATCTGGAAATGTATCTTTGGAGAATGAATCAGGAAAGAGCTGCACATGGAAAATAGTCTCTATTAGATACTAATTTAGTAACTCCAAGAGTTAGTAAATGTCTGAGGAAAATAAAGAGTAAGAAGGACAGGGTGTCTTGGACATCAGGAAACTCTCATGTGTAAAGACTGAGCAGGAAGAGCCTGGTTCCAAAGAGGGCTTCTCATGAGAACACCTGGGAAACTTTTAAAATATGTAAGGACATGATTATGCAATATATATTTTGAAAAGCCTGTAATAGCATTAGAAACCATATGCTAAAAGAAGATGACTATCAAAGAGGTAACCAGTGTTTGGGGAGTGGATGGTAGTGTTTCAGATACAAAGGGGAGAATTTCAAAAAGAAACCAATCTTTTAAAAGCAGGACTGACTTTAGTAACAGGAAGCCAAATAGTTTTGCATCCACTTGTCTGACTCTTTAAAAGAAAGAAATTAGCATTTGAACTCAATAAACATTACAAGAAGGAGCCTAGCAAAGCACCCTGTGCTCAATGTCCTCAGACATGTGGACAAAACAGAGATGGGAAGGAGAGGAGAAGGAAGGTGTTTTAGATGGCAGAAAGCTTCTCATTGGAAGCAGAATTTGAACTGAGACAAAACAGATGGTAATGAGGCAAGCAGCTAAGCATTCCTAGGAGAGAAAATAATAGAGTTAAGAGAACAATGTACAGTCTAGGAAACAGAGTTAGTTCCTTGGCTGGAGCAAAAGGCATTAAGTATTAGAAATGAGGGTAGTGCTCAAGTTATTAAGGACCTTATATAGCAAGCCTAAATTTATTTGGTTTTTATTTTTGAGGTAAAAGAAACCCAAGGAATATAATAAAATAAGTGGTACATTGGATTTGTGACTTAGAAAACCCATTCTGTCAGTCAGGGAGGAGGATGGTCTGGGGTTGGGGATGGATTAAGAAAAGATAGAGACCCAAATTCCCACTGGGAGACTGTTGCAAGGATCCAGACATGAGAGACGGGTTCACCGGGGTTAGAGTAGGGGAGAGGTGAGCTGAACTGAGGGCAGGATTAAAATGGGAGGTGGATAGGATACCAGAAGTTTGCTTAGGTGACTGGCTGGTTGAAGCTATCAGTCCTTGAGAGGAGGAATAAAGAAAAAACTAGATTTAGGGGAGGATAGGGGTGGAGATTCATATGGCAGAGAACATTTTGATACTGGAAGGTTATTCCATTCTCCAAAAGAGAAAAAAATACCAGTAACAAAATTGTTTCCTTAACTGCTCTTTTACCTGTAAGTCATTCTATAGCATTCTTCGTTCAAATATCCAGACTCATATGTCACTTTAGTTTCCAACTAGTCACTGCATGAAGTTCACTCATTTATTATTTACTTCATTCAAACATAATTCCAATGCACCAATTACTTGTAAGTTACTGTGAACAGACAAGTAAGACATAACTTGCCCTCTCCTCAGAAATGGCATTCTAGTTGGATCCAAAAGGACTATAACCACCCCATTATAAATCGTGTAGTTTGATGCCCTAAAGGTTCTGAAGTATAGAGAACAAAGTAAATAACCATGAGGTGGAGCAGAGTTAATAAATAGGCTTTAGCATAACTGTGACCTCCCTGAAATCTGTATTAAGGAGGAATAAAGAAAAGGAAGGAAGGGTAGTATGCTCAAACAGGTCTCTAACCCTTAAAAGGTTAAGAAACACTCTAGCTTTCCAAGTTCATTTGGGTACTATTGAAATACTTTTCCAGCATGGAAAGGCAGAGACCAAGGGGAAGCTAATAGCTTGGCAATCTGCCTAGTCCTCTGATAATGGACTATATTGTCTTTTATTTTTATTTTTGTAGTACTGAGGATTGAACTAAGGGCCTCATGCCTGCTAGGCAAGCACTCTACCACTGCTACACCCTCAGCCTTAAAGTACCTTCGTTCTTACAAACATCAAAAGTGACCAATCTTCTGACTTAGCGTGAGAAAAGGCAACAGGATCATTAATTCTAAAAGCCTAGTTAGTTAAAAAGATCAGATGTTCACTGGGGATTTCCAGGCACGTGCGCCAAAGCCCAGGACACCGCCTGGCTGACACCTTCCCGCCCGATTGAATAAACTGTTCCGAGCTCCGCCTTTTAGACTCAACCGAGAGAAGTCAGCGAAAGCTGTGGAGTCCAGACCAGGTTTTCAAGCATCAAGACGGAAGTAATAACAAGCCGGAAGTTCCAGAGCCAGCCCCGGGAAAGGGGGAGGGGGGAGCAGGAGAAAGACTGGGTAGGATGGCGGCTCAAATTCCAATTGTGGCAGCCACTTCCATCCCCGGGATAGCCCGGAACAGCAAGAAAAGGCCAGCTAGCCCTTCCTACAACGGCAGCAGCGGAGGGGGCTACGGAGCCAGTAAAAAGAAAAAGGTATCCACCTCTGGCTTTGCGCAGGTACGCTGGCACTCTCCTACTCTGCGCGTGCGCGGTGCCGAGAAGGACAGAGCGCATGCGCACGGCCGGCGGGGCGGAGCGTGTGCACGAGCGCGTGCGCAGTGTCGGGCTGGGATGGTGCCAGCTGAAGTAAATGCTGGTTGAAGTAGATGCTGGTTGGTGGTGTAAATGAGCATTTCCCCCCCACCCCACCCCTCTAAGTTTTAACGCTTCGGCTTTGGTTAGATTCACCACCCACCTTGTATTGTGAGGGGAGAAGAGGAGATGAGTGGTTGTTACAGATTTAGGACAAGGACCGCCCATCCCCATCGAGGTCGCATTTTGAGCGGGGCGCATGACTTAGAACCTGAGTGTCTTTGAAAAGTAGCGGGTCTCCCCTTGGTTCATCCTACTACATTGGCTGAGTGTCTGAGGTGCAGAGCGCCTTGTCCTACATGGGGGAACATAGAAATGCATTGATAACGTATAGTTTCCCTCATTTAGGAAATTTTTAATTTCTGCGTTATGATACCAGAGCAGAGACAGGCTGGCCTCTTGAAACATCCTTTGTGTTTTCAAACATAATATAAATTAAATCACACAGAATATTCTTTAGTGTCCCTCTAGGTTCCTTTGTAGAAAAGTCTTTTTGAGACTTTTTTGTTGTGTGGAAAAGTCTTTATGAGACTTAAGTAAATCTGACATCTTGTACAAACATTTACTGGTGGACATTTGAGTTAATTTAACTGGGATTCCAGGCGTGCTCCACTTGTGCATATTCTTTATTGGAGACTTTTCTGAGATATATCGTGGAATACTTTCTCCCAATATGCCTATTATTTTGATATTCAATTATGCCAGGACCAAGGAATGTAGTCAGTACATTTTGGAGGAATGATTCTTTTAACCCCCAAAGTAGCATTGGTCAACTCCCACCATAACAAGCTTCAGAGAATGACCAAATGACTTCAGGATGCTGGAAATTCCAATAGCCCAAAGTAGTGGAAATTACAATTCTGGTGGCCTTAGAATACTCACTGAAAGGAAGGGCCTCCAAAGTACTCCCTGAGGACTTTCTTTGTCTTAGCAGCACCCTCTGGAGAGGCTGGAAAGAGCAGGACATTTCCTGGCATAGTGAATTCTTTTTTTTCTTGACTCTCCTCTTCCCAGCTGGTGTTTAAAGAAATGTAGTAACCAATTACTGCTTCCAGCCTCAGCATCCATCCCACGAAGAAGGAAAACAACTTGGCTTCTGTCTCTGGCAATAAGTCTTAAATTTTTGTCCTGCTCTAATTCCCTGATCCACAGCCATTAGCACAGTACTTCCTTGAGTACTGCCTGGAATTTTTCTAGAGGTGATCCTCATCTGTGTTCCTTGCTCAGCCTTTCTGTTATATTTCAGTTCAATTCAGTCAGCAAGTGTTTATGGTATTGTGTTTCTGTTTTGGCCCCAGAAGTATGCTTAAAGATATTTCAAAGTATTATATCCTGTTCCCTCCCTTCCAAAAATCTCTCAGAAAAAGAGAATGACAGATATATATTAGCTTTCTGTTGTTGCTGTTATGAATTACCACAAATTAAGTATCTTAAATAACTCATAGGATGAGAAGGTCAACCCACAGAAAAACCACTGTCTGAGAATGGAGTGTTCAGGAGAAAAGAAAAGCTTTATTCAGTGGCCAAAAAATGAGGAAGAGGGAGCTTTGCTCACAAATCAGCTTCTGGACTCTAGCATCAGGTTGAAGATTACAGATATAGGATAGGAATGGTGAGGGAGAGACTAATAAAGGGGAGGAATATTCATGTCTTCTCTGGGACTAGGTAGTGATCATCCAGGAACTTGCATGCTACCTTCTTTCACTCATTCCATGAACTGGTGTGTCTGGGCGTGGCAGCTGGCAGGTGTCTTTAGCTTTAAGTAGGGAGAAACTAGGCAGGTAGGTCTTGTCATATTAATCCTATATTATAGTTTGGGACAAAACATTTCTCGAATGTTTAACAGGTTTACTTGTGGAGCTGATTAGAATCTGACCCAAAAATTAATGAAACAAAGGAGATAGACATAATATGAAGATAGAGATGCCAACATTCAGTCACCCATGGGACATCTGTAGGCCCAAGTGAAGAGTTAGTGCTTTCAGCAAAAGTGGTCTTCAGTTCCCTAAAGAGAAATGTAGGCAATGTTATCATCATAACCCACATGCCAGAGATATTATCTACAACAAAGCTAGTGGAAGACTAATAATTTATACCTAGCTCTGTGACCTCCAAAATTAGTAATTTTCAAGTCAATAAATAGCAAGTGAAGCTAGAGGGTTTATTTAGGCTTTCTTTGGTAACACATTCATTAGCTCATGGTTCTGTAGATCAGAAGTTCTAACATAATATGACTGGTTGGTTCTCTGCTCTGGGTATTACAAAGCTGAAATCCAAATGTTGATTGGGCTTTCTTTTCTAAAGGTCCTGGGGAAGAAAACAGTCAGCCTCATTCAGATTGTTGGCAGAATTCAGTTATTTGGAGGTAGTAGGGCTGTGGGTCCCTATCTCCTTGCTGGCAATCAGCTGCTGCCCATATTCCTGGGCACACGGCCTCTTCCATTTCCCAACTGGCTATGGAAAATCTCCCTTTAGTCAGTCCTTCTCGAGCTTCAAATATCTCTGACTTCTCTTACCTCTGGATTTAGATTTAAAGGATTTATGTGATTAGGACAAGCCTACTTAGATAATATCCTTTGTTTAAGATCAGCTAATTTGGGACCTTAATTGCATCTGCAAATCTCCTTCACCACAGTAACTAGATAAGGGTTACTTCACCACAGTAACTTGAATAACTGGGAGAAGGTGCTTATACACCTGGGACCATGCTACAATTCTACCTATCACCTACATGGGGGAATATAATAATTTCTAACCTTGAGCCCAAGTTGATTATATATAACTTCCATCTTAGTATTTTACTGTGGCAGGACAGAGGAAGATGGGACTTTTGACAGTAGTAAAGGAGAGGTGGGGAGGCAAATGGGCTTGAGATTGACTGAGGGGTGGTGGGTTTGAATGAGGAAGGCATTCCTGGCCCAAGGTTTCATCAGTGGGGAGGTGAGTGTTTTTATATAAATGACTTTCTTAAGTTAAAAGGGATTTTACAGATCTTTCAGCACCTAAATTTCCCTACATCAATAATTTTAACTATTGTTTTCTTAAAAGCAAAATGTATAAAACGTCCATGAGACTTAAAATTTTACAAAAGATTTTTACTTAAGAGATTATTACAGTGTTTTTAGAGATTGTTGAAAAAATTCAATATTGTGGATTCGTGGATTTTTTTTTTAATATCATGGATTCTTAAGACAAGTTTTACTTTCCAGAAATGTGCATATGGTTTCTAAAGTAAAATTAAGTGCATAGTTGAAATTTAAAGATGTTTGTAAATTTAAATGCTTAGAAGTTCTCAGGATTTGAAGAGAATGTTTTTGGTCTAGTAGTATTGTGAGCAAAGCATTTATAGATGTTTTCCTCTACATCAAACTTAGGAAATAGTTTAATAGTACAAAAACAATTTTGTTTTATTATGCCATCAAGGTGGGTCTTTATCCAGTTCAGCAGAAATTATTATTAAGTGTTTATACTTGTTAAATTTTGTAAATTGTCTTAGAATTACAATGCTGTATTTGGATTTATATTCTCAATGTAACTAATGTGGCTATTGATTAATAATGTTATGAGAGTACGGTCTTCCATTCATTCTGGTTATTATACTTTGAAAAAGATTACTGGACTGGTGGGATGGGGAACAGATATTGTGTTAAAATAAAAGAAATAGTGATAAATAATAGTAATTAATGTTTGAGCATTTACTATGTGATAGACACTGTTCTAAGCTCTTTCTAAGCAATGTCATTTAATTCTCAAACTAACTTTATGTGGGTTGTTATTCTCATTTTACAGATCAAAAGATTAAGGGGAAATAAATAAAAAGTAAATAATTTGCCCACTTCCACATACTAATAAGTGGTAAGAGTCAGGGTTCAAACCCAAGTAGGCTGTCCAGAGTTCACATTCTTTTTTTAATTGCCTTTCTTTATCACTCTAGGTTGGAAGATGGAATTAGATTTCTGTTCTAACAAACTCCATGAGGCAGAAAAATTATTTTGGAGAGGGTATTTCTGCCTTCTTATAGGGCATTTAAACACCCTATTCTAGTTGTTAAATTTTTCTGAGAAATCTAATTGACCTACAGATTGAGTGTTACTTGGTCGACTTTTGATTTATAATGGTTAATAAGCATTTAATAAAGCATCTTAAGTTGAGGCTGCTATTGCTGCTCGAGAAGAATAATGCAGAGTGCAGATGACTAGGGGCGTAGAGATGATGATAGACTCTTTTGTAATTGGAGGCAGCCAGAGAATGCTAGACTGACTTGATTTATTCATTTAAAAAATAATCATTCTATCCCAACTTTTAAAAAGTTATGGTAATCTTAAATCATGTTACTCTTTCTAGGTGTAGTATTTGTATTTTATTTGGTGTATGACATTCTGTATCCTGTTTTTCACTTAGGATTATTTGTGAACATTTCTCTGTATTGACAGTCATCTCAGTCAGTCTAATAGACTTTTAAGATTATCTGACTTCACTGTGTCCTAAGGAATTAATTTCTCTTTTTTAACTGACTTTATTGAATATCAAGGTTTTATCTTGCATTTTTGCTATAGTAACTCTGCAGTTTAAGACTTATCCTTTTTTTAAAAATCTGGGATACTAGATATATCTTGTATTTGCTTTTTCAATGATAAGACAAAAAGACATTTGTCTCCTTTTTTTTGTAACCACAGACAGAAAGCCCAAGTTATCCTGAAGTCTGTGTCTGAGTCATGCAGGCTGCTGTCTGGTGAGAAGAAGCTATTTATTTGGGCTGTGTAGTTGGGCAGTGATGGGCTGAGACCCTAGGCCTTGCTGACTTCAGTGTCTTAGCAACAGACATGTGCTTCTTTAATAGCAGTCCAGGTTTCTCTTCTCTGGCGCTTACATCAGCTCTTTTAGTGCTGCAAAGAGAGAACAGCCCTTAGTGTTAGGCGTTACTTCCTCTCCTCAGCTTAGGGCATTTGTGTCTCTGGACAGTTCACCTCATAAAAATCTCTTAGTGTTAATAGTGCTTTCATAATATGGAAACTATACATCATTTTAAATGTTGTTTTAATGCATCTGAGCCCCAGAGACTTGGACTTCCCTTTGGCTAAGGTATCTCCCTCTCATCTGCTTGGCTGAGGTGAAGGGGAAGGAAGGTGAAGGTGGAGTAACGTGGGGGTGGGAGTAAGGTTGAGGAGGAAAGACAAGCAGAAAACCAGTCTGAACTTCCTGTGGGGATTTATCTGGTTAGAGAGTCAAGAAAGCCCCCCACTATTTTCAGAGGCAAGATCCACTCTGGAATTGTATGGCTCAGTTCTGTTCAGGTGGTTTCCTTTCTCAGCTGCTTCTTCAGCTTGACTTCTCAGGGGATTCAGGCCTGCTGAATGGAAGAGCAGAGGATGGAGCAGGCCCTCCAAGAGGAAGAATCTGTTTGAAAAAAATCCATGCACATCATCTTCATTTCCCTCTTGACTCTCTAGCTTGGGGCTTGGAACTTAGACTTCCGGCCTGTCTTTTAGAAGCCACCCTTCTCTTACTGTCAGCTATGCACTTGTCTGATTATATGACCTCTCCCCTGGCAGGACTTCCAGATTATCTAGCCTACATTGACTTGCTGAGTGCCTGCTTTTCATAGTGGCTTCTGGAGAAGTCCCCTACCCTAATCCCACACTGTTGCCCCTGGTCTGCCTTGAGACAAAGAACTAATGTCAAAAGAATCTGCATTCCTTCCCCTTCACTGAGCACTTAACACCTTTGAGCTTCCTTGCTGGGAATCAGGGGAGAAAAATAAACAGAAAGGGAGAGGTGCAGTCTCGGAGCATTTCCGGAGTAGAATAAAAGTCAGTTGCACTCCCTGAGGCTGGGGCTCTGGGAGCTGGACATGCTCTTGTGGATGGTTCTGTAAACACTGTCCAAGGTCTTGGGGCCCTGTTTTTCTCTTTTGAATTTCCTCTTTGCTTATTTAGCAGTTCAGTTTGTTTGTTTTTCTCAGATGGAAACAGTATCATATTAATAGTCATATTCTTTATGGAAATCTCAAACTATTAATAAAGTTGAAATTTGAGGTGTATCTGGCCCCAGGAAATCTTTTTTAATTCTGCCCATTTTCCCTCTAAGTTGCCCCTACCTGTCTTGGGTATCTAATATGATACCCACTGGGTAGTTCTTAGAGTTGTCTGTCTGTCTCAAGTTCTTAGGATTTTTGTTTTTCTCTTTTTCTTAAATTTAGACCACCCAGTAGGCCTGGCCTCCTGACAATGCAGGGGCATTGGCCTGTTTCCTGCTGAGTAGTCCCGTGGAGCACCCTTATGAAGAGTTGGATTCCTTGGGAGAATGATCTCTTTCCTTCTAAAACTGGCAGGTTTCCTTAGATCTATTCCCATCATGTCCTTTTCAGTCAGTACCCTGGACTTTCTCCTTTGTCCCTAGATTACAACCTCTAAAAAGAGTGATTTCAGTGTGAATTTCCTAAAACAAAAGATTTTGTATAATGACAGGTAAGACTGGTTTGAGTGAGGATGAAGGGAGGGGCCATTCAGACAGGGGGGATGGAATACAGGTTCCAGATTCCTTGGCTGGAGCCCTAGCCCACCCAGAAACCCCAAAGAGGAATCTGGGGAAAGACTGGTCAGAGAACTGTTGTAACAGAGTGAATGTTCCTTGTTTTCCCCACTCTTCTTTCCTCTTACAGATCCCATTGAGAGGTCAGGGAAGTACGCATACGCACACGTCCAGAGACGTAACTTCTCATGAAGTTAAACATGCACTTACCAAAAAACACAACCACTCCATTCCAAAGTATTTACCCAAGAGAAAGGAAAATATTACAGCAGCTTTATTTGGAGTAACTTGGCACTGAAAATAAACCAAATGTTCATCAACAGGAAAATGAATAAATACTTTTTAGTATGTCTATATAGTGGAATTCTCCTCTGCTGAATAGTACTAGGCAAATACATTGAAACAAACTGCTGATCCATACATATATCAACTTGTATAGGTCTCAAAAACTTTATGCTAAGCTAAAGAAGTATATGCTGTCAGACTCCATTTATATGAAGTTCTAGAACAGGTATAAGTACTGTAGAAATCAGAGTAGTGGTTGCCCTGGGGCTAAAAGGTATTGACGAGGAAGGGACATGAGAGAACTTTGTGGGATGATGGTAGTGTTCCGTATTTTTTTTTTTTTTTTTTTTTTTTTTTTACATTTTAATTTTTATTGTGGGTTGTTCAAAACATTACAAATTTCTTGACATATCATATTCCACACTTTGATTCTAGTGGGTTATGAACTCCCACCTTCACCCCATACACAGATTGCAGATTCACATCAGTTACACATCCATTGATTTACAGTGTTCCGTATTTTGATAGCAGTTTGAATTACACCAGTATAAACATTTAGCAAGCCATGAAACATACACTTAAAATCTGTGTATTTTACTATATGTAAATTTATCTTGTTTTTTAAAAAGTTGAATTGTAGTCTGGAAAGATTGGAAATTGCCTCTGAAATCAGATATAACCTTATTTTGGCTATTTCTAATTTGTTATCAGCTTAAAGATTTCTTGTTTTAAAGCATATCAGCCTGCTTGTCTGAATACTGTCTGGCTGTAGCCAGCTGACCTGTGGCACTCCAGCTTCCTCTTCATTTTCCGTCCTCAGAATGCCCATGTCCTGTTGTGTCCTTATGCATGCTGGCTCCTGCGTAGGTTCTCTGATGACTAAACTCTTAAGGTGCTAAGCCTTTTTGCCTTAATGTTTTAAGACACAGCTGATAAGAGAAGCAGGAGTTGGGACTGTGTGGTATCATAGAAATGGTGGGGTTTTTAGAATTGGCTTGATCTGGGTTTGAATCCAAAGGTAGAGTACTGTGTGGCCTTGACTCCATCCTTCTGAGCCTAGGTTTACTTTTTTTTCAAAGTGGGAATGATACCACTTCCTTTGTAGCTGTTGTCGGAATCAAATGAGTCAGCTTGGGTCGGATAGCCATCCTGAGCTTGGCACTAAGAGGAACTAGAAAACATGGCAGCTGCAGGTCCTACCCTCTTTCCTGCTCCCCATTAGGCAGGGTCTCCTCTGGGGCAGACGACCTGCTAGAGTGCTAGTTGCAGTTTTTCCTTGTATGTCCCCCCTTGTTGAGAGCAGAAGTGGTGAATCCTGCTAGAAGAAACTGACTTCAAACAATTCTTACTATGTTTTAAGGGTGTCAGCATGGAAGCCGTGAATGAAAATAAAATGGTGTCCTCTGAGTTTAGCACAGGACCAGTGGAAAAAGCTGGAAAACCTTTGCCGTTTAAGGATCCTAACTTTGTGGTAAGTTTCTAAGGCATTATATTCATAAACAAACAAACAAACAAAAAACAATCACACGTTGGCTACTGATCATGCTGGGCCTGCAGCTTTGGTGGCTCTGGTGTCCCCATCTTGAGTCTAAGTTGCAACCTTTTCCCCATGGGCTGTTATGGGAGCGAAGGGGCAGGATAAGAAGGATCCGTCCTGTGGATCTTCTACTTTGCCAGACCCTAAGAACTTTGGTACCTTTGTGGAATTCATTAAAGGATAACATTTTGAGGGTGGGTCATTCCCATGATGATTGCTTCCCTTCCCTTTTTATTGGTCTTACATTAGTTTCAGGTAAGGCTTGAAATATTTAACTGAAAGAAGAGTGTTCCTCATTAGTTTCTTAAATAAATCTAAGTGTTGTGCTATGAAGTAGAAATGGGCACTTTTTCTTTCATTCTTGAGGGATATAGTAACATGTTGACTCAAAGATTTGGATTACACTCTTAAGTTTATTTTTTATGAATGAGTTTTGTAAATACAGTGTTACTAGTGTCACAAATATTTTGGTAGTTTTTTTCCATTTTATTTTGTAATCTTCATAGGACCAAAAAAAGAGAGAGATTTCCAGAAGGCTTGCCATGCCACAATTGAGACTTACTCAAGTTTTCCAGGATTACTAGTAATTTGGAAGGCAGAGACTTGCCCTCAGAAGGGAGTTTAGAGATTTAGTCATGAGATTAAATCTAACTTTGTAGTAAATTTATTTTAAGGTGATCAAGTCATGAGTGAATTCTGCAAAGTTAGACCCAATAAAAGATTTGATTTTGTGTGTGCATATAAAAACATAACCTTTTATTTCTATTCTATCACCAGCTAACTCGTACATTTTGACAGTCCAAATTTTCATTTGTTCAAATTAAAATGAGAGTATACAATGAAGTACTTTTTAAAAAGGTCTCAGGGTACAAATTATTGGTGATAGAATGAAAGGTACTTAACAGTTATGATAGCATAAATGTCAGATTCTCATAGTAGTCTCCGTTGATTTTTGTTTTTTCCAACCCATGCTTTTAACTTGAGCACTCTGGCCATGGTGGTGCAGTAGCTGGCAAGAAGAACAGAACCTGGAAGAACCTGAAACAAATTCTCGCTGCTGAAAGGGCATTGCCGTGGCAACTGAATGATCCTAACTGTGAGCTGTCTAGAGTCTTCCATGTGATTATAATGCTCAGACTAGGAACTTCCTTACGACAGACCTGTGTTATTTTATTGTGTTTGCATTATTGTAGGAAATTGTTTTTAGCTTGAAAATTTTATAGTGGCATTGATCTAGGAATATTATGTGTGTATTACCTGTGAACTGTGTCTGTGTTGAACCTGTTTGTGTTGTCTTAGGTTAGGGTTAGTGTCATTATTAACATTTCAGTTTGAGAGAGAGGTCCTGCTATGATAATATTGATGTTTCTATTAGACAAATTCTTATTTAAAAGTCTACTCTTAAAATTTATTTCAAAGAACAAGGTAGCCCAAGTATAATGCTAGATTTAGGAGATTCCAACAACCAGCTTAAAGTCCAACTCTTTTGCACTCTTAAGCTAGCATCTTTGAATGTGAATACTTTCTGCTGCAGTATGTTTAAATTTATATAAAACACTGTTAGATGTTCTATTGAAATTCATTGTAAAATGCAGGTTCATTGATCACTACACCTCCTGTCTTGCTGTATGACTTTCATGGGGGTGACTCAGATGGATGACAAATAAGCTAGTCAGTCATCTAGGTGTGGACATGCATGAGTCTGGGTGCTCAGATCCAGTTAGTGGGTTATTTGACATTTCATCACCATCAACCCATGGAGCCTGAGATTGTGAAAGTAGCTTGTGGGCAGATGAATTTTCCAGCAATTCTGCTGGAATAGAGGGTCCCTGGTGACAAGGCAGGGCTAGATCCAAACCCTGTACTTGGTCTGTAACATACTATACTATTTTTCTAAGACTCCTCTCTTATTTGCTTGGTTAATCCACCTAATCCATAATCATAAAGGAAAATTTCAGGAATATTATCAAATGTTATTTACAGTGGTGGGGGGAGGGAGAGAAAGAGAGGAATGGAATTAGAATGTTTTAAGGCAAGTTTAGTCATCTCTTTTTTTCACCCCCTCAGACTTTAGTATTGATGCTCCTCCATCCTTTAAACCAGCCAAGAAGTATTCTGATGTTTCGGGTCTTCTTGTGAGTATAATTATATCTCTATTTATTATAACATTAAATTGAAGAAGATTTCAGAGTAATGTCCAGACTGTGTTCAATATCCACCACCAATGATTCCACCTACAGCCCAGGTACTATGAATAGGTAATAGGTTTGTGCAAGGCATCCATTCTGCAATCTGGGACAGCTATGTGGGCATCCCAGAGGGAGGATTGTTCTAGAAATCAGGAGACGTGAGTTTTACTTCCTTTTTCTTGGATAGTTAACTATTTGGAACAATATGAAAGAAACAATTACCTTTTTAACTGCCAAAGTTTCAAAAACCTGCATTTTAGATGATTATACTTAAAACAAAATATTTAGGGCTGAAGGTGTAGGTCAGTCATAGAATGATGGCCTCACATGCTTTAGACCCTGGGTTTGATCTCTAGCATTGGGGGAAAAAAAAAAAAGTAAATGTTTCCACAGAAGCACTGTGATTTCCAAACTTAAGCACCAGACCCCCCTTTTTTTTTCTCCAAATAAAATCATAAGATAATCCATATATCTAAAAGGGCTAGAGTCCTTCTTAGCCATTGAGGTCTCCTGGTCCTTTTCCTCCTCCCTACCCCCATCCTGATGACCCCCTCAAGTGCTTCTATGGAACAAAGTTTGGGAACCACTAGTGGAGCTGGAAGTAGGAATTGATGACCCCCTCAAGTGCTTCTATGGAACAAAGTTTGGGAACCACTAGTGGAGCTGGAAGTAGGAATTGGGGAAGTGGGAATTGGGCAAGTTACTGAAACTCAGAAACTGAAAAGAGCCCTATTTCCTTATTTGCAGAATGTAGAGCAAGTGGGGTACTTGTAAAGACATCTTCCCCTCACCTTCTTAATCTGTTTTTCATATCTTATGAATTTGTAAGATGGGCTTTTTCTCATAACTATAGAAATAAAACCTGCTGTTTTTTAAACCTGTCTCTTAAATCCTTATATTTTAATGAAAATGTGTGATCCCCAAATTCTATAACAAATTGACCAAATTAGTTTATATACATTATATAAAGAAGAATTGTCTCCTTCTTATATCCTTTTTTGGGGGAATTGCCTTTTTATATATATCCTTCTTTATTCCTGATCATTTTCATTGTTCCAAACTCATTTTCATTTGTTTGCCATTAGTGCTGTATATGCTATAGTTTGGATATAATTTGTCCCCCAAAAGTTCATGTACTGTAAAGCTTGGTCTCCAGTGTGGCTTGAGCTCCTGCTTCCTGCCTGGTAGTCAGGAAATGGTCATGGCAGAGGGAGTTGGTATGATCCTAGATCTCATCTTATAGGCTTCTTTTTTTTAAATAGGCTTCTTCTTTTTTTTTTTTTTTTCAGCCACTGTAATCTTGTACTGCCTCTTATCTCTTTCTCAAAAATAGCTGCTTCATATTTTTTTAACCATCTTAATAGTTGTTTGTGGCAGGAGAACTAGTCTGGCACCAGTTATTCTGTTATGGCCCAAAGTGGAAATCTCTTGCTGTGTCAATTCAAGCTTTTGGAAGCCAGACCCCTTAGAATGTCAGCTTTATCCTCACCATTTTGGGCAGTTCATTTACTAGTATAATGATTTTCACCTGTTAGGAGGTATGAGCGCTATTTTGAGAAACATTATTCCAGGTCTCTTTTTGCCATTGGTGAAGTCTTGCTGTGTTACACAGTACTTAAAACCTCTTCCCCCACTTCTTTGTGAGAATTAAAACATTCTGGATATACAAAAAAATCAAATCATTGAAAGACAGTTCCATAGGAAAATGGGCAAAAGAATAAGAATTAGAAATTATAGTAGAAGAATGTAGATGACTAATAAGTAAGCATTTGTCTGGTAATTATAAAAAGGACTCATTCTACAGGGAAGAAATTAAAGACTTTTTTTTTTTTTCCCCCTGTACTGGAGATTGAACCCAAGGATGCTTTACCATTGATTCACATCCTCAGCCCTTTTTATTTATTTTTTTATTTTAAGTCAGGGTCTCACTGAGTTGCTTAGGACCTTGCTAAGTTACTAAAGCTGGTCTGGAACTTGCAATCCTCCTTCTACCTTCCCAAGTTGTGTGCCACTATGCCTGGCAAGAAATTAAGATGTTTGATTACATATTTTGGCCCCAACATAAGGAAGTGGATATTCTCATACATTGCTGTTTTCAGGTGGGAATGTGCATTAATACAGCTTCTTGAAATGACAATTTGGCATTTCTCTTATAACAGAAAAGCAAATGAATAATCCAGCAATTTGTCTTCTAGGCAGTTGTCTAGAGAAATAGGTGCACAAGGAGCTTTATGCAGAAATACTTATGGAAACTGTGTTAGCAAAATGTTGGAAACAACAGAAAGCTCTATCACAGCGTATATTGTCACATTGTTCTGTGAGCTTGATGCATATCAACATGCTTAAAGTTCTAGAATGCAAAACAGCATAAGCAGCTTGTTGCTGTTACATAAAAATCAGCATACAGTGTGCACTTCTGCAGCATATATGCCAAAATTAGAATGATATAGAGATGATTAGCACAGCCCCTGTGCAAGGATGACATGCAAATTCACGAAGTGTTCCATTTTTTAAATTCTTATTTTTTACTATGCCAAGTTTAGTTTTTCTTCCATAGGATTTCATACAAAACAGGAATAAGCAAATTATGGCCTACATGGCAGATTTATTTATTTTTTATTTTACTGTGGTCCATGAGTATCTTTGTTGTTATTGGTTATAATTTCTTTATAGTTGTTGTGTGGTTCTTAGTATTCATGTGACTTAAACTGTGTCTTTAAGTAGCATTATACCATTTTATATATAAGAACCTTGTAGGGGTATACTTGTGTTTATTTCTTTCCAGTACCATGCTTGTTGTATACTTTACTCCTACATGTTATAAACCCCACAAAAACTTGTTATTATCTTGCTCCAAGTGGTCAACACATTTTTAAAGAATTTGAAAATAAGAAAAAATAAATCTTTACTCATCCACAAAAATAACACATTCACAAAAAAATACATGTTGACTAATTTCTCTGTTGTTTATGTGTTAAGGGTATAAATAAAAACTTCTGGAAGAGTGCCCACCTAGCGGTGGTTTCCTCCGGGGAAAGCAAGGACTTGTGGGTGGAAGGCAATGGTAAAGGGAGACTTTAGTCTTACTTGTACTGTTTTATTTTTTTTTCCAGAGGAGAACATGGTTCACTTATTATTTGTATAATTTAAAGTTACATAATTAAAAACTAAAGCCTAACTCATATTTACAGTGACACACCTGTCCTCAGCCAGCCACATGACTGTTTCCTCTGCACTTGGGCATGGCAAGAAGACATGTGGAAGTCACATCTGTGTTTAGCCCTCATTACAAAGCTATGGAAAATGTTAAGACTCTAGGTGAGATGGGGAAGCTGTGAGCACTGCCTGTAACTCTTTGCTTGTCACCCTGCAGCAAGGGGGACTAAAGCTGATTGCCATTTAGGAACATGACCTCTGTTTGTTGCATCCAGGCTCAAGGGACAGGATGCAGAGGCAGGTAGACTATGGAGATGAGCTTCCTCACTTGTTCATCTCTGGGGTGTTACCTGGCATCCTTCCTTGTGTTCAAAATGCAGGATGCTGACTCCTGGGTCAGGCCCATACTGTTCTAGTTTTTGTCGGTGCCACAGGATCTCCGTATCCCACATTGTTTCTTCAGCAGCCTTCTTGGCAGTAAGGTCTGAACTTGGGTAGCTTAACTAACACAGATCGGTGTAAGGAGAGAGGCATCCATGCAGTGGAGCCAAACTGAGGCCAGCTCATATATGGAGGCCAGGTGGTCCTCACCAGATGACATGCCTGCACCCTGCTCAGAGCTTCAGATAGATTAACTATCTGACAGGGGAAGACTAACTGCCTCAGGGCCATGAGCCCTCGAAAGAGACTTGTCACTGTTTTTCTAATTAAGTTTTCCCTTATAGTACTATCATTAAAGGAAATGTAGTACAGAAAGGCACTATTTAGATCAAGCAAGAGGATCAAAGTTTTATTTGATATAGAGCTTTAATTAATCTTTACTTTTTGGGAATACATCCCACTTTCCTGACACACAGCAGCTAAATACTGTAGGGAGATGCCAGGTGGCAGGAGTGAGAACATGAGAAACCTATGACTCAGTTCCTTTCGGCTTGTTGCCTCTTCTCTGAAGTCTTCCCCCTCATCAAGCCACAAAATTACTAAGAGTCTAGGTCCATACACACATGACAGCAGTGGAGCAGACAGTCCACCCTTGAATAATTGGACATTATCTGTCTAGACTTTAATGCCATCTTTTATAATTTTTTAAATGGAGCTTAAAATTACTCATTTTTAAAATAAAATCTATAGAAGCCATGCTCTTTGAGATATATAGTAAGCAAATTATTTTGTCTGCTTGCACATGGGAAAAACAGACTGAAAGAGAATTTTGATATGTCTAGGAAACAAGTACTCTTTTCTTTTGTGATGGTCCTGTGATGGTCCTTTTGTGATGGTTTCTTTGTTTGTCATTCATTCAGTCAGTCATTCAGTATATAACCACTGATGGCTCCCTGTGCTCTCTGCATTGCACAGGAACTGGTCTACAATGATAAGCCAGCCAGCTTACTTCTACCTTGTGGAGCCTCACAGCCTAAACCTTAATCAGAGAGTATGTAAATAGTAGACTTCAAAGCAGCAGAGATAAGCATTGCCCAGGAGAGCTCCACAGTGCTATGAATATGACCCTCTGCAGAGGCACTGATAAACCTTCCTTGAAGCTGTGACTCACCTTCAAGTGGCAGGAGGGATGAGGGTCCAGCAAGCATGGGAGCAGCGCCTGCCTTGAGGAGCACAGACCTGGGGCACTTACTGGAAGGGGTGGGTGTTGGAAGGCAGGGTTGATGACCATCATGAATTCAGTTTTGGAATTGTTGCTTGCAGCCCTTGAGGGACCAAGAAGAAGGGTCCTAGAATAGGATGTGGTTGTTCTTTCTGTCTGTTCCCTGAAGTGTTTCTCAAGTCTGAGGAGATTAATGAGTCTTTGCCAAAGTGAGCAATGTAGTGTTCTTGGTGACAGTAAAACATAATGCAGATATATTTTGCTTTTTGTAAAGTAGAAAAAAATGTTAAAACTTGTGCTTGAACTTGAAACACCACAACCAAAAACTTTGTCCTTCACTGTGCCCATATCTCACGCAGGCCAACTACACAGACCCCCAGAGCAAGCTGCGGTTCAGTACTATTGAAGAATTTTCCTATATTAGGAGGCTGCCATCTGATGTCATCACTGGCTACCTGGCTCTAAGGAAGGCCACGAGCATTGTTCCCTGAGCCTGAGCAGTGGAGATGAAGTGGGAACTGTTTCAAAGGCAGACTTTGGGCTCATGATTTTGTTTCATGGAAACAAACTCATTCTGCTGTCAATCTCAAAATGTCAATGCTGTGCCTTGGAAAGAATGTTTGGCTTTAATTTAAGGGTTTTTAAAATTTTTTTATTTCTCTGTTTTCCCTCCAAGTGTGATATTTCCTGTTGAATGAAATTATATTTCAGTTGTTGCCTCAAGTAAAATTGTTTGACAAGAAAATACAATAAAATTGTGCTTTTAATTTAACCCAAGTAAGTTCCATATTTTTATTTCTAAGCTGTGAACTCTTGTCTAACATTTAAAGACTCTGCAGTGAATCCACAACAGATCTGAATTATTCTTGATCCCAGTGACTCTCCTTTTAGAGCACATTACCCTTTCTCTTGGATTAGAATGATTGGAAGATTGGAAGAAGTCCAAAATTTGGAATGAAGAAGAAAGAGCTGTGTGCCCCATCCTGTCACACTGGACCAGTCCTTTGCCCTGTGCCTCAGCCTCTCCTTGTCCCCGGATACATGGGAACCAACACTGATGCTCCCTGTCTAAGAATAATCTTGTCTTGGTGGAGGATGCTGCCCCTTGGGCTGCAGCCTGCTCCAGGAAGTTGGCATGTGCTTCCCTGTTCTACAAGGAGAGGAAACATTTCCTTGGACCGGGAAAAGGAGTCTGGAGACATGCCTGGCTTTGCTGAGCCCTATTGCCAGTTGTCATATTTCTGTAGGATAGGTGGTAGTACCAGGCCTTGGATCTTCTGGGCCAGGGCCGCCTCTACTTTAGAGGATTGGACACCCAGATGTCCTTTCTGGGGACAGCCCCTCCTACAACCCACCCCAGGCATAGAGAAAAGAAAAAACAAAGCCTCATCAACTGGGAGAGCAACCTGCTAGCTGGTAGCAACTACCGAAAACTTGACTTTCCTCCTACCAGGTACTTTAGCCCCAATGCCCTTCAGTACCTTCTCACAGTGGTACTCTTCCCCATAACAAGAGACCTAGGTGACTAGGAAAGGAGGGAGCTTTCCTCAGTCCATGGTCACCAAGCATTTGAGCCTCTGGTGCCAGGGTTCTCAAACCACAGCCACATCAGAGTCACCTGAGGGCTTCTGAGGGCTTTATAATAAGAGATGTTGTGAGGTATGCTCTGATGGTGAAATTGAAGTGTCTGAAAAGTCAGAGGCTGCTGCCTGGCTCCTACACTGGCCTTCACACTTCCTGCCTTCAGGAAACACCCCAGCTTCCTTTTCAATGGAGAACAGTTAGTCAAGGACACTTCCTGCTTCTGCTTCCATTTTCTATTATGTAGAGTAAACTTGGGGTCAGTCCATGTCTTTTCCTTGAAGACCCTCCCACCAAATGGGCATTTCCATTCAATACTGATGCTAGATGCTGCCTCAGTTCTACCTATTCAGGCTCTCTAGAGGTAAGTGAAGGATTAAAGAGAGAAGCCCTGCCCTGCACATGTCCTCTGAGAGGACCTGCAGACTGTTGCTTTCATGGGCCTCAGTGTTTCTGGGTGTGTTTTCCATGAACCCTCTGAGTCAAGTGGGGGACTGCTAAAATGCAGTCTCCTGATTCACATTTGAGACCCTTCTGGCAGACTCAGGGAGTGAGGCTCAGAAATCTGCATTTAAAAAGTGTGGTTATAATACACACAGGAGTTTGAGAATCACTACCTTCCACAGGCAGAACACAAGATTATGGACTGGACAATTTGGTCCTATCTTTCCTATTCCTCTGCTAGGGTTTCCCCATGGGCCTCTTTGCTGAAGAGCTGTGAGTTCCAAAGTTCAGGTCATTTCTCACCCCAATCTCCAGAAGTTCAAGCTGAGCCAAACCAAACATCAAACTGTGAATATTTTCAATGAGTCCTATAGGTTTAGAATGGACAGGTAATCAATCCAGTGCTGAAATAGCCCTTGCCATCCATGTGGTGGCCCAGCCCTGGCTATGTGCAAAAATCGTTTGTGTGTGACTCACTTTCTCCATTTCTTTTTCTATATTTTTAATTTTGTTCTAAAGCAGGAACTAGAACCAAATAAAATTAAAGCATTGTTTTGGTTTGATTGGTTTAATATTCTTCAAAGAGCTGAGGATGACTCACAGACTGTCCCCCTTTTATTAGTAATTAAACTGCGATTACTGAAAGATCATAACAGCTCATAATAGCTGATTAAATACCAAGGCTATACCTCACTGAATAATACTCCTAAATTTAAACTGATATTGTTTAATATTGCTCTCAGATAATTTTAATATTTGATGTTTCAGGGTAGCTATAGCAAAGTAGCATTAAGTACAGCCATTTTAGTTTGTTATTTTTGTTGGAAAGGGGTTTTCACTTTGAGTAGAAGAGAACACAAGATAAATAATGTTATATCTATGGATTTTATTGCATTGACAATGCTTCTGTAGCTTTCATGTTCCATTTTTGTGAATTTAAAAAATTGGTTTTTTACTCTTAAGTAATTCATTATTTTCTAGAAAATTTAGGAAGTACAGATAAATAAAATGAAAAAATTCAGAAACTATGCACAGTCCCCCAACTTGTAAGAAACTACTCTTAACATTTTAGTGTACATCTTTCCAAACATTTTACCCATGTACATTTATGCATGCATTTAAAAAGAATATGAACTTTAATATCTTAAAAAAAAGAAAAGAATCCAGCTGTGTGGACGGGGAGGGAGAATGGTGAGAGACATCTTAAAATACCCAGAGAGATTTTGGGGTTTGTTTTAAAAACTAGATTTATTAAAGTATAATTTAAACAGTATAAATTGCTAATTTTAAGTTACTATGCAGTGAGTTTTGACAAATGAATATTATCAAGTCTCCCTCAAAATCAACATATGGAAATTTTCATTCACCTCAAAATGTAGGAGCTTTTTTTAAATCATTCATATTGTAATGAAATATAAATGGAGGCGTTATATATTTCAAGTTTTCCTCATGCTCATATCTAATTTATAATTAACTAAATTCCTGGCCTTAAGAAATAAAAAAGCTCATATTCTGATTCAACTGGGCTGAGCAGGGTCTAGGCATAGTATTTTTTTTTTTTTTTTTTTTTTTTTTTTAGATTATAAAGTTATCTTTAATGGACAGTCTTAGAGGAGCTGATGGAAGTGAAGCTAGGTACCTTTTATATAAAAATGTGGATTTTATCTTTTAGCTGCATTCCTTTAGGGTTTTGAATCCTTCAGAGAGGAGAACAACAGACATAAAGACAAATTTTTAAACTGGGCATCAACAACTAACAGTAGAACTTACAAATATAGCATATGATACAGCATATCTATCTATTAATATAAATGTTATATATTAATATCCATATCTATGAGGGATAAATTATATTAACTAGGCATAGTATTTTTAAAACTCTTCAGATGATTTAAATATGCAGCCCATTTTGAGAATTTTTGTTAGAAATACAAAGAAAATATCTCACATGGGATATGTTTTCTTATTCCCAGATCAACCTTCTGTCTCAGGACCATGGACAATTTGGAAGGGGGTTCAGGGTGTGTGTGTGTGTGTGTGTGTGTGTATTTTTCATTATATTGATGGAATACCTGAGGCAGGCTAACTTTATAAAGAAAAGATATATTTAGATCACAGCTCTGGAGATCGAAGGGCATGGTGCCGGAACACGTGTGAGAAGAGGGATCACATCGAAAACCAGGAAGTCAGAGAAAGACTGGGGTGGTTCATTTCCTTCAGGGGGCACACCGGAAGACCTAAGGACCTACCACTTAGAGACCTCACCTCTTAAAGGTCCCACCAACATTGCCACACTGAGGACCAAGTTCCCAACACATGAACCTTTGGGGGACAAGAACATAGAAATCATGGCAGTGTGTATTTAGGATTCCTGTTTATAGCATCCCACACTGGAGTTGGAAATCTGAATGTCACTGCAGACTTTTTCTTCCTGTCTTTACCCCCTACATTCAGTTTCTTCCTTCTCAGTTCTCACACTGTCCCCCTCCTCTTCTACTTGGCCATCCTCCAGCCTGACTTCAGGAGTACCTCACCTCGGGCTTGCACACTTTCAATGTCCTCCTAACTCCTCTTTCCTGGATGCTGACTCCTCCCTTCTGCTCTCTACTCTGCTGTCAGAGGGGTTTTGAATGGCTTTGCCCACGAGTGACTTGTCTCTGATACCTGGTCAATTCTGGCATTGGCCTCTAGGGCCCAAAGGATAAACACAACCCTTAAGGAAAAACAACAATGAGCTGGATTTGAGAAATCAGCTTTTCTTTTTGAAACCACAGTGAGATACAATCTAATCTAACTGGAATTTGAAAATATCTGATGCATGTTTTCACAGTAAGATGAGAACAATCTAGGCATATTTTAGGACTATGTGTAATGTTGGAGATGTGCTTTCCAGAACTGTGGGTAGCACTCATGGGTGAAGGAGACCTATTTGTCCTACCTCCCAAGTTAAAGCCTGCATCCATCCAGATTTGGTATGTGTTTTGAAATTGATTTAGTACCTGATGGAGGGCTAAAAGTGTTTACAATGAGAAATCTCTGTTTTATGAACTCATGGCTCTTTGGAGGAGATATCAGACACCCGATGCTGTTTCCAGAGCTATATCTGTAAGTTGGAAGTGTTTGTTGAACTAAGTAAATGTAAAGGAAAGAAGCAGATATTGGCCCCTCACCGAACAGGACAGACACATTGCGGAGAGATTGCAAATTATGTCCTCTTACAAATGTGTGGAACAAACAAGTGTTATTTACAATGTTAAAAGGAAAGGTTCATATTCTTAGAGACGCATGTTGAAATATTTATGGGTGGAATGATATGATTTCTGGAATCTGTTTTAGGATGATGTGGGAGGAAGGAAGTGGATAGGAGTAGTGTTGAAACAAGACTGGCCATGGGTCAGTTATTGTTAAAGCTAAGTGCTAAGTACATGGAGGTTTATTCTACTTTTGTTTGTGTTTGAATTTCTCTGTAGTAAAAAAAAAATTAAAGAATATGATGTTCTCATTCCTAACTATTGTGATGAAATTGATGATCTATCTGCATTTACTTTAATTGGCTTGTGGATGCTGAAAGCTGGAGAAATGCTGCCTGAATGATGAGATGTTGAATAGAGAAAACACTCAATGCCTAAAGAAACTCACAAAGAAGAGATTAGGAGAAAATAATAAGGTAGGTGACCCTGTCCTTTACATGTTCTTAATAGAAATCTTTGTTGGATATTCAGTTGTCCTGGAGGATGGTCAGAGTAC